GACATTGACAAAATATTTTATGTTGAATCGTGGTTCGGTATTTCATACAATTAAATACCACATATCATTTTAGCCTTCCATAGGAAGTTTGGAGTGACGATCCTCATTTGATCCGTCAACTTTTGGACTTTGGACCATTAACTAGCAACAATTATATACACGCATACATTTTTTTTTATTGGAAGGAGGCAAACTACCAGGGATCAAAGAAACAAGTACAAGAAGGGTTCCTGGTTCGCCTTCAGGACAAGAGGCACAGAGGCGAAACCAGCAAAACAACAAAGACCAGCCTGACGAAACTATCTAAAGTCTGAGTTACTACTGTTAGCTACCAGAACCTGTCTAGGAAAGCTAACCCCAAGGATATCCTCCTGAATCAGTCTTTCAAGGTCAGTTGGAAGCTCATTTAACTCATACGTTCCGAAAGGATAGACGAGACTGTGCTTCGAGAGCCAGTCCGCGACTCTATTCCCTTCGCGATACGTATGAATTAAACGAACTATCCAACTCTGAGCCAAAAACCTGCGAATAGCATTAAGCATAGTAGCATATGGGTGAACCGGCCCAGTTCTTTTGGTAATCATCTCAATTGCTAACTTGGAGTCAGTTTCGAGAATCAAACATTGTGCTCCTTTCTTCCAAGCTAGCTCGAGCCCCTTGTAAATGCCCCAAAGCTCCGCCAAAATGGCAGTCCCAGTCCCGATTTTGCAGCAAAACCCACTCATCCAGTCGCCATCACCGTCACGGAGACAACCTCCTGCTGTCATCATTCCTGGGTTCCCCTGAGCAGCCCCATCGGTGTTTAATTTGAGCCATCCTATTGGAGGGGTAGTCCATCCAATGAGTTGTTCCTCTCTCATAGGTGCTGTCTGAGAGTTTCTTGCAGTCATAGCAGTCCTCCAAGCCTTTGTCCAGTCTTTGGCTTTGGAAATAATGTAATTACTGAGGGTCGAGTCAGAGATTCTGACCGCTTTGAAGATGAACTCATTCCGATGTTTCCAGATGTACCAGCAAACTAGAGCAAAGAAGCTCGACCAATCCCCTGTCTCTTCTGAAAAAACATCTTTTTCAATGTTATCCTTCAGCCAAGTGTCCTGACCTGTTTCAAAGAAAGAAGACTGCTCTTGTTGTGGGATAAGTTTCTCCCAAATCATCTTGCTCCTACAACAGTCTCTTAGACAATGAACTATAGATTCTATGGCATTATCACAAAGAGGGCAGGCATCATTGTCAGTTAGATGTCTGAATTTTTGAACATCATTGGTCATAATCTGCCCTTTAGCTGTTGTCCACATGAATAATCTGACGCGTTCTGGAATTTGCAGATGCCAAATTCTTTTCCAAGGCATCGAGGTTTGGCTGTGGTGTGGCTGGGATAGCAACTTATAAGCCGATGAAGTGCTGAAACATCCATTAGCGGCAGCCTTCCAAAACAAGATGTCCTCTTCGGTTGAGATCGGATCAAGCATTACTGATCTGAGTTGGTTCTGAATATCTGTAGAGAGATAGTGGTTGATCCCCTCCATCTTCCAGCCCGTGTTGCTGTCCCAATAATCGGCTACTTTCATCTGTTGAAGCTCCGACGAGATATCGTGGACTGCTAACTTGATCAGAGGTTCCTCTAAAAGCCAAGAATCCAGCCAAAAGTTAGTTTGTTTACCGTTCTTAACGTTCCTAGCAGCACCTTTTTGGATGACATTAGCAGCTTGAGAAAAACTTTTCCAGGCATGTGAACTTCCCTTAACCTTAGCGAGCACAGCAATTCCCTCTCTGCTACGTCCATACTTGCTCCGCATGACTTTGGTCCATAGAGATTGATCTCCAGAAACTAGCTTACAAGCACCCTTCGCAAGCATTGCTTGGTTAGCCTGTCTAGTGGGACGAATCCCAAGTCCTCCCTGATGTCGTGGAAGAGTGATGTGATCCCATGCTACCGAGTGGATCCTTGACTTCCCATCCTCTTCTCCCCATATAAACTTTCTGTTGATTTTGTCCAAGTCTTTGCAAACATCTGTAGGAAGCAGCACAGAGAACATAGGATAAATAGTAATATTAGAAGTTACTGCTCTCACTAGAGTGACACGCGCAACCATAGATAAATGCTTCGATTTCCACGCAGAGATTTTATTCTGGATCTTCGTCAAAAGCGATCTGTATCTGTCTTTGGTGATCTTTCCATTAATAGCCATTAGACCCAAATATCTTCCTAAGTCTGTTGTGAGGCTGATTCCTGCCCGGGAGCTGAGTTGGCTTGCCCTGTCTTTATGAACATTAGGAGACACGAACATTGCCGATTTGTTGAAGTTAATTCTTTGTCCTGAGCTGATACAGAAATCATCAAGACATTTCTTGATGATGTCAATCTGTTTTCCTTCCGCCTCTGCAAACAAAATCAAATCGTCAGCAAAAAACAGATGGGAGAGTTTTGGACCATCTTTAGAAAGTTGTAGAGGTTTCCACAACTTCTCCTCCACTGCCTGTTCTATCATGTGAGCAAGTCTTTCCATACATAAAATTTAAAGGAAGGGCGAGAGAGGATCCCCCTGACGGACTCCTCTGGTAGGAAGAATGGGTTCAGAGAGACAACCATTCCAATTAATTCGCATCCTGTTTCTTTCAACACAATCCATAATTCTGCCTATGAGAGAACTAGACAGCCCGACTTCCTTCAGTGTGTCTCTGATGAAATCCCAACACAGTCTATCATAAGCCTTTTCAAGATCAATTTTGATCACTAACCCACCCTTCTTCCCCTTCTTCTTTCTCAAAGAATGCAAAGTTTCTTGTAGAAGGATGATGTTGTCATTGGTTTGCCTCCCATGGATAAAGCCACTTTGGGTAGGGGCTATGAGCTTCGGCATAATGGGTTTCAAACGATTAGTGATAGTCTTGGTGATTGCCTTGAGGGCAACATTGTTTAGACAGATAGGTCGAAGTTGTGCCGGTGATTCTGGCTGCTCAGTTTTTGGAATCAAGACAATGGTAGAGTCAAGTGTGTCCTCCTCCAATTCTCCCGTCTCAAAAAACTTGCAGGCCATATCAGTGAGACTTTTCCCTACCACAGCCCAAAATTTTTGGTAGAAAATAGCTTGAAAACCATCAGGGCCTGGTGCCGAATAAGGCTTCATCCCAAAGATAGCCCCATGAATGTCAGAGATGTTAATAGGTCGATGAAGCATCATAATATCATCGTGATGCAATCTGGGAAAAGAGTTGTGAGGCATGAGATCTTCATATTGGGGACCATCCTGCAGGTAAAGCTTTTTGTAGAATTCTACAACCAACTCCAGTAGATTCTGAGGATCATCAATCCAGTTGCCTGCTGAGTCCCGGAGAATCAGAATGCAGTTTTTCCTTCTTCGCCGAGTGGCCTGATGGTGAAAGTAAGATGTGTTCTGTTCTCCCATCGTTACCCATTTCTCTTTAGCCCTTTGAAACCAGATGAGCTCTTCCTGATCTAGGACTCTATCAAGCTCGGTTTCTAGCTTGATTTGGAGTTTCAGCAGTCCCCGGAGAGAAAGCATTGGCTAAGGGATTAGTGATGCCTTGCAACCGAGCTAGCAGCCTTCTCTTCTTCTTTTTGATGGAGCCAAAAACCTCTCTGCTCCAATGAACAAGCTTTGGGGAGATCTCCTTGAGAGCTTGTTGGAAAGAGGTCTCATTATTCCAGTTAGTAGCCAGATAATCAGCAAACCTATCATCAGTTGTCCATACAACTTCAAAGCGAAAAGGATTGGTTTGTGAACTGGAAGCAATAGAATGGAGCTGAACAGACATGAGAATAGGAAGGTGATCAAACTGGAATTTGGCAAGATGTCGAACCGAGGAGTTGGGGAAGTCCATATTCCAACTAGCATTACAGAGAGACCTATCAATTCGGCTTGCCTTCCTTGTCAAGTGAGAGTCTCCTCTGAACCAAGTAAACCACGGCCCCTGAAATCCCATGTCTATCAATTCCGCTTCATTAATCCAGTTGCTGAAGCGGTGGCATCTTCTAAGAGCTGCAGGGGAGCTGCTACCAAGCTTTTCCTCGGGTCGACAATAGGCATTAAAATCTCCCGTGACTAGCCAAGGAATATCAATCATTTTGCTAGCTTGAATCAGGTGACTCCAAAGTATAGATTGATACTGGTATTGAGGGCTACCATATACACCAGTGAGCAGTCATTGTCGATCATTCCCAGCTCGGATTTTGACTGTAATGTGTTGCTTACTAGCATCCAGCAGCTCTACTTTGTGATTGATGCTTTTCCAGCCCATCCAGATTCCCCCAGCTCTGCCATCGGCATCGACTCTAAGTACTTCATCAAACCTCAGCTTCTCGCGAACAGAATCGGCCCGGTCACCACTGATTTGAGGTTCCAGAAGAATCAAGAAGTCCGGTTTGTGAGCATGGTTAAGGAGGCGAATTGCTCGGGTGAACTTTCTGCTTCCTGCACCGCACACATTCCAGGAAGAATATTGAAATTAGGTAGACTAGTCATGGAGAAACTAATAATAGAGGGAGAAAGAAAAACAAACAGAAATCAAGTAAAGGATCAGGGAGGGGAGGATCTAGAGTGATCTGTCGGATTAAGCTCCATTTTTTCTTGACCATCGCCAACATCCATCGAAGCTGCAAGAGGAATTTCAGTTGCAAGAGGAATTTCAGCCATGTTGACATCGTCAGACTTCGGGGGGTTATGAATAGCTAATTCCTCCGCCTTCTGGTGTGTTAGAGCGCAAAACTCCTTTATAGCCTGAATCGTAATCGGATCAGCTGCAATCTTGGATTTTTGTTGCGTCTCTCGCCGCTGGGTGTTCTGCAGTTGGAGTGGTTTCTTGATAGCCCTAAGACTGATTCCTTTTTGATTCTCTCGTGCCTGCAATTGCTCTGCTTTCTTCCTTTGGTAGTGGTGGTGGATTGAAGAAGAGTCGGAGTTGGGGTGGGCATTTTCTTTATTGTTCAAAGCAAGGTCGGGGACGGAGATAACTCTAACGTTGGTTCCATTGTTGCCCGTCTATCGTTGAGTTACCACAATCTCCTTGGTGCCTGAAGAGGATGCTTCGAGGCTCTTTAGTGTAGGCATGTCTTCGTTTAGCCCAATATCTTGTCCTGTTTTGGGTTCTCTGGAATCGATGGGCCGCCATTCTTTAATTACTTGAGCTTTTTTCTTACCGTTGAGCCCATCCTCTTCTTTCGCAGAGGCCGTTTTCTGACTAGCAGAAGTTCCCTTTTTATTACCCGAGCTTTGTTCCACTTTCCCTTTCCCCTTCCCCTCTCGACTTCCTTTGGCTAATGTATCTTCTGACTTTCCTTTTGCAGAGGCGCTGCTCTTGCCTGATTCACCCCGGATTTGTTGGCGATTTTGAGTTACATGTTCTGAAACTTTCCTACTTGGTTTACACGATTTGCGGATGACTTGCATCCACGGCCCAAACCCTGCCGGCGGATCTTGGGAGCTCGTCGCCGGTGAGACAGCCTGTTCTGCTTCCAGAAAACCAGTAATGGCCAAAGGTGTCTCTTGTCTCACCTGAGGGCAATTATCTTCCTGATGTCCAATTCGTCCACAGTGGTAACAGATGGTGGGGAGGTTCTCGTATAAGACTGCTTGCCAGAAATTGTCGAGCCAAATCCGCGTAGGCAAAGGTTTTGTCATATCTAATTCAATAGCAATACGAGCAAATTTACCTCTTTCCAGATGTTCAGTATGATAATCAATCTTAATTGTTCTGCCAATGAGATTCCCAAGTGCAAAAAGGATTTCTCGATGATAAAAATGCACAGGAAGCTCCGGAAGTTGAACCCATGCGACCACTGATCGATGAGGCTTGTCCGAGGTCCGAAAGGAAGAGGAGCATTGATGAACAATAAGGTAATGGTCGAGGATGACCCAAGGCCCTCCCGTTAGCACTTTCAGATAATCTTGGTCCTCTCCAAACGTGGCCAGGAAGGTATCATTATTGAGGTCTATGATTTCCATAGATCCCACCGGCCGCCACTTCCATCTCAATTGTGAAACCAGGTACGTGTAGGAGATTGATCTGCTAAGGAGTCGGATGATTAGAGTCTTCTTCCATGGCTGAAAAAGACGCTCTTTCAGGGCTGTCGATACTTTCAGGGCTGGTTCTCCTTGGAAAGAGAAAGGTTCCAGATCCTTGTCGCCGATGAAAGTCCATTTTGCCTGTTGTGATGGGCTTCCTTGGGGGGTTCCTGATAGAGCGGCTTTGAAGTTCAGGGATGGTGGCGATTGTGGCTGCCTCGCCGGATCATTACTGTGATGGCCAGGCGGGTGTAAGGGCCGTCGCCGGGGCTTTTTCTTGAATGAGAGCAGTTGAGAGCATTTCAAAGTCCCTCAGCAATTACGTCCAGAATATAAACGCGTACATATATGTCCTTGTTTGTTTAGGCATTTCTAACGATTTAATTCCGGTTTTCATTGGATATGCTGCAACTCATTATGCTCCACGTTCGCTTCAGATTAAGTCAGAGTGGGGAGATTGAAATTATGTAAAAGTTAATTTAATTGATGTTTCAAATAACTCCACGCCTCGCAGGCTGACCCGGACCCGATTGAGCTAGTGGGTCAAGGGTTAATGGGTTAGCTCGGTTTAGCTCGGTTTAGCCCGGAAATATGAAAAGAGTCATTATATTGTACTTATGCTCATAAATTATACTAAATCTCATCTAACATATGAGTTATAACATATAATATTACACTAAAATAGCATGTCGTACTTAGATTCAACATATAGTGAAAATTCACACACACTTATATAACATCAATATTCAAATGTTCAACTTAAGATTCCAAAGATTGAGTTAGGCGAAAAGAAAAATCGGAAAATAGGCGCATTTCGCAAACCAAAGACAAAAATGACATAATTTGACCTCCAACCCGGTACCTTGTAGCGGTCGACCCGGCGGGTGCGTGCGACCCGTTTTTCTCACCAGGTCAGGGTCAAAGTGGGTCGACCCGGGGTTTGACAACCTTGCTCCACGCACACTTTATTTTTTACAAAAGATAATCATATATTGATTCAAGAAAAAAGATAATTACATCATGGAGTTCAGCCAAGCCTGAAAATAAAAAGGCGACTCATAGTCGGATACAAAGAAAGGGCATTTCTAACCACCAAATGAGCTACCCTATTGCTACTCCGACCTACGAATCAAACACTAAGCCTAAAATGATTCGCGAAATACTACACAACTTCTTCTAGAACAGCCCCACCCGATTATATCTGGTATCAACATGATTGATTTTCTCAATGACCACCTTAGCGTCTCCTTCAAACCGGACCTCCGTGAAGCCTTGGGCCAGGCACCATAAGATAGCCTCTCGGAGAGTAAGCAACTCAACCACCATAAGGTCCTCAATCGAAGGAAAAGGAATTCCCTTAGCGAAAAGGACTTCTCTGGCTTGATTCATAAGGACCATCCCGCCAGCCGAGTGGGACTCCTTCCTTGTACCACCATCCCACATACAAATCACAAAATTCGTCTCCCCGGGACTCAAGTGATGCGTCACAGGGACAGAACTATGGAGAACACGATCGACCCGTAAATTCATCCACTACTCAAACTGCTGGTTAAATTGTCTCATCAAGGCAGGCATCCGAAACTGTTTTTCCTCGGTGACTACCCAGTTACGTGATCTCCAGATCCTACAAAGGACAGCAACAACTGCCATGAGCAACGAAGGTTGCTGGATGAGAGACAACAACTTCTTGAGGAAAAGTGGGAAAGTATGATGAGGCAACCCTTGACCAAGATACTCAAACCCTGAATGGTCTCATAACACAAAGACAACTTGATTTTATTTAGACAAATAGGTGTCAAATGGAGTTGTTATAGCTCCCATAACACAAGGAGACCTAAAATCTACCTCTCGGACAACATTTAACAGAATCATATGAACTCGATGGTTACTTGTCCAACCTAACAACTATGGATCTGCACGAGTCTGCGCAAATCGTAATAACATTGATCAACTTGGTTCTCTAACTAACCTAACCTGATTGAAACTATTCGGGTTCGGTTTTCCAACACATGAATGAGACCAGTATTCTAGGCTTCTAGAAAGTGACAAATTACGAACCAACCTAATACGAACCGGTTTTCCTAGCCGAAAGAAACCATTTACAACTTACATATATGTATGATGATTGATGAGCTAACAACGACCTTGCATATATATAATTATATTATAAAAAAGAACAGCCTTGTCATTACAGTTCGTGCGAGTCTTAATTAGTATAATATTTCTAAAAAAACTAACTAGCTAGGACCACTTTATAAAATGAACTGTTATTTGCCACCCGTAAGTTTACTATTTGCCGCCGGTAGTTATAACAATATTTACCATCTTATCCTTTTTTTCCAACCTCCATGTTCAACCGACGACCATCGACCACAGCCACCTCTTCCCCCTCCCCAGCTCCGCCCCTGGTCAAAACCCTCCCCTCCTTCACCTCACAGCCTCAAGGCCCTCAACGTTGACGACTCTGAGCCGCCGACGAGCGCGGTTGTTCCCCAACGTCATCGATCGTCCTCCTTCCTGATATCGTCGTTCCCCACCGTTAGATGGAGATGCTCGGTCCGCTCGTCGGTGTCGGACGGGGTCCGCGATCATGCTTTGGACAGCGTCCGAAACCCTGACGTCGGACGGGGTCCGAATTCCGGCGTCGTATGGGGTCCGAAACCTGGCGTCGGACGGTTACTTTTTTTTTTTTTTTGAAAATTGTTTTTGAATTGTTAATTATTGATTGAGTAATTAAGTAGTTATATTGTTTCAAATATTTATAAAATCACCCGTCAAAATAAAATATTTATAAAATCTTATAATTAGGCAAATTAAAGGGAGACTTTTAAGGAAAGATTGACTTTTTCGTTGATCTAGTTTTGGTAGATTTTTTGTTTGGTTTAGACTTTAGCGGTGGAATATTAAATAGAATAGTTTTTACGGTAAAATTTAAAGGGAGATTTTTAAGGTAAGATTGATTTTTCCGTTGATATAATTTTGGTAGAATTTTTTATTATTTTGGTTGAGCGGTAGAATATTAAATATATGATTTTTTATGGAAAATTTTATAAGTTTTACATTAATGAAATAATTTATTTTGAGTAAGAATTTTTCGGAAGGAAACTTCCTAATTAACAACCTCTAATTTGTATTTCTCGCCACCAATCTTATTTGTATCGCAATCAATAGAATTTGTATTCCTTAACAACTGAACGTAATATCCTCCCCAATAACTCATGTTTAATGATTATTTTCCTAATTAACTACCTAAAAAACTTCCTCCCACGTCTAACAATGGTTTCATAATTATACTCAATTTAACATCCCACCCACATTTTACTGAATTGACATCCGAAAAAATTTCCTTAATTAACATTTCCTATTCCATAACCCACGTCTAATTTCAATTCCCTAATTAGCAATAGGAAAAAATTATGTTAATTAACACGACTAAGCCCATAAAATGGAAATTTTGTATTATTAATCACAACCAAAACACATTCTATAATGAAACCGTACGTGGGTCTTGGTTCAAATAATTATAAATTAAAATAATTCTTTATTGATTTTTACAGTATTTATAATTATTCATAATTTATTTATATAGCTAGGGTTTGATTTTGACCAATTAGGGTTTATGGAGAGTAGGGTTTGATCTTGACTAATTAGGATTTACGGAGATTAAGATTTGACTTTAACCAATTAGAAGAGAATTTAACCACAATTGAAATCAAGATGATAGATGGCAAAAAGAAATAAAGCATTTCTTTCCTAGTTTACACCTTCTACCCCTCCAAAACCCTAAACCCTTATTCCAACAAAATAACTACATTCAACCTCGACCCCATCCAATTCTACTACGACATTGTCTTAGAGACAAAATCGTCTCTACTTCCACTAACAACAATCGTCCATATCGTCGAAATACGCATGGTAGGCCCACGAAACTGCTCGTTACGACTCCCAAAACTCCCAAAAACGTCGATTAAAGTTTTGACACTATTCATACTTTTTTGCCCCGGACATCCGATCGCAAATCGGTTGATTCCACCATGTTTGTATCATAGACCAGGAAACCGGATCGTACCGGCCGGTTCAACCGGAAATTGGACCAAAAGCGGTACGGTAGGCTGATTGTGCTGATTTTACTGTACCGGCCGGTTTTTTCGGTTTGACCGATACAAAAAGAAAAACCACCCGGTTTCGGTTTAACCGGCGGTAGCCTTATTGAAAGAATACGTCCCTGTTTTAAGCACTAAAATTAAAAAAAAAAAAATCGGCATTCAACAGCGCAAAAACACAAAACCCTAATCCAAAACGTATTTTCCTTCTTCCCGTGTTCCCCATCCCCGCCGCTCCTCTTCTCCACTCCCTCTGGTGACTGGCGGCCCGCGATCGGTGAGAGGAAAGAAGCAACCCGCGACGGCGAAAGGTCGAGCCGATCCCCGCTCCGCTCCTCCGCCGTTCCTCTTCTCTTCTTATTTGGCGACCCACGACCGGCGAGTCGAGTCGTCCCTGCTCCGCTCCGCCACTCCTTCCTCTCCTCCTCAGCCGCTCCGACCGTGCTCGAGTCTCCCTACCCTGCTCAAGAACGCCGTGCCGATCCCTTTTTGAGTCTCCCTCCCCTGCTAAGAACGCCGCGCTGATCCCTGCTGGAGTCTCCCTCCCCTGCTCAAGAACGCCACAACAGAGGAATAGGTCGAGCTCTTTTCCATCCCAAAGCCAGCGATAGTCAATTAATCTGATTAATTAGGTAAGGAATGACTATTGCTCTATGTTGAAAATGGGTCTCCGTGGTTGTATAATGCTCTATTTGGTTCTTGGTTGGTCCTGAATGAGATGAATTACATCTCTCTAATCTGTTCCTCTTTTTGGTGGCAATATTTGGTGAAGGCAGAAATATGGCTTAACACATATGTTCCTCTTTTTGAGATGAATTACACTTTGTTGATTGTTAC